GTGGAAGAAACTGTCTTAATCAGTTTCCAGGGCTCTGCTTCAACAGCAATTCTCACCAGCTATCTTAGTTTTGCCGTGTTAAGTGGTTTGGGGTTTTTTCCCGTCTTCTTCAACGTTGTGTGTTTCTTTTCTCATCCTTTTCTGCCAGAGGCAGTGAGGCCACTGAACAGCACTGCTCTGTGGATGAAAGCAGATCCATGTGGCAAGTCCGTCATGAAATATTGCTTCTGGCTACATTTTTGTATCCTGCCACGAGCCTGATTGTTGCTCCTGAGAGCACCTAAATTCAGTGCTTGCTTCCTGAATATCTGATTAAGTCTGTCAGTGTTTTGAATTTTCTTAAGTATGGTATGTTAATTGGAACTAGGACTTTCAGTTTGTCTCTCCATTTTTGGAGCCTGCCTAGTTTATTTATTTGGGTTTTTTTTATATAAGTGCCTTCTTGATGCCTTGCTTGCTCACTTTCAGAGACAGAAGCATCCAATTAAGGCTGAAACAGAGGTATGCTGAACTCATCCCTCATCTCTCCTCTCCTGTGCTTTGCTCTTATCCAGAGCACAAGCTAAAAGAGCAGAAAGAGCTGAGCAGTCTGGGGAGCCCACATAGCTGGCAAGTAACAAACACAGCTTCTCTCTCTTCTTCTTTTACATTTAGTGTAGTCAGGGAATTGGAAGTTCTGCTAAGGCCTGCTGTGACCTGAGAGAGCACAGTGAAGAGTACTTGGAGAAGAATGAGGCTGAGGTTTAGTCAGAACTGATGAGTCAAAATCTTCAGAGAAGTTTGGAGTAGGCAGCAGGGAGGGTTGAAAATTGGAGTTTAGAAAGGACTTACAGTGTAGTTATATCAGAAAATACTTATTTTACTTATATATCAGTGGGGGGAAAGGCCTGATTTGAAGGATGGACAGTAAAATAAAGTGTTTAGCAGGGAGCTGATAGCATTTTGATATTATTGGCAGTGCTGAAATGGTGTCAAGTAAACACTGTTCTGCCTGTTGGACCTCTGCAGTACCTCTCTGTTTAGTCTTCTGACTCTATTTCTGCTGTTGGGATTGCTTTTCTCTAGAGGTACCATTGCCATGGGCCAAGTAGCAAGAGCTGAATGCCTCAGTGTTTTATAAATTCTGCTTGTGTCTCCTGCTTCAGTTCATGTAAATTTTCATAGACATCAGGGAAATTGTTATTCAAGAATAATTTGATGCGACATCTGTTTTCTCCCTTTCCTTAAAAAATTTGGATATACAGACACTACTCTTCAACACCATTCTCTGGTCCCAGATCAGTGTTCTAAAGGTTTTTTCTTTGAGATAAGTGAAGGCAAAATCACCAAAGAATAAAGGATCCCTCTCAGTATTTTCTCAGCATGGTTTTCACCATTCACTTTACCCAGATGTTCTGTGTGACACATAAATTAGGTATTACTGCTACAGAAAGAAGACTGACTGGTTTGAAGGGCTGGACAATGAGACTTCCAGTTTTATTTCTTTCTAATTTCATTTAGTCTGCCCTAATAATTTTGCACCAGTGAGCTGTTTCGCAACCAAGATGATAGTTTATATTTCTTTTCTTTCTAAGGGTGAGAAAAGGTAGAATGCAGAGGTGTAAGTATAACAACTAGTTCTCATGACTTAACTATATTGGAACACCCAAAATGAGAAGAGGACATGGGAGCCGTCAGCACCCATTGTCTGAAGCCTTACAGCAAAGCTCTACTAGTCTTTCCTCTACTTTTCCTCCACTTCCTACTCAGTGCCCACTGAGCAACTACTCCAGGACTCTTCTATTCCATGTCCAGACACTTCTCCTGCCTCACAGGGAGCTGAATACCTGTAACACAAGAGATGATACCTACAGCATGCCATAAGGTGTAAGTAGGAACAAATAATTCTACCCACATGTAGACTAGGTCTCTGCAAAAATAAGAGGTCTGCTGGATTAAAATGAAGCTAAACCAACTTCTTCCTGAGCCTTGCACCAGACTAGCTTTTTCTTCTCTCCATCAGGATGGCTCACAAACTCGTCCCAGTCTTATCTACTTCCAGAGAGCCTTGCTGGCCTCCTGGAGAGGTATGCTTGTCCTCACCTCCACTACATAGTCCATCTTTCCTAATAATTTTCCACAGTGTTTAGTATTTGATGACAGATATGAGTGTCTCATACAAGCAGCATCATCCCCTCACTATAAATGACTGCATACCTTTGGTCCAGCTCACGTGTCCCAGTGCACTCCTAACATCGCAGAAGCAGTTACCAGGATCACTGTACTCTTCCATGGACTTGCAAGTAAGAAGTGACTTAGGCAGACTCCTACAAAGGTCAGGCTTTTGTGGGTCTGAATTGTAAACTTTTCCTGCAGTTCTATTGGACTTGATGTAATGCACAGTTATTACACCATCAAAAGCAAGAGGTGGGAGAAGAAAGAGGAGGTTCCCCAGAGAAAGGGGAAGAAAGTCTGGGTAGTTCCATTTCCTACAGTTTTTTGATCAACCCTCAGAGATTTCAGTCAAATGCAGGATTGTAATGAAAATATTACAGTTTATAATGCTGATATGATTTCTACACACCAGGTACCCAGTACGCATGCTGTCTAAAAAAATGTTCAATAATTTTGTACTGAGCACTATACTTTCCTGGAAGCAAATACTCCAGAATATACTCAAATTCTTTGTTTGGCTCTGTTCTTTATGTAATCTTCATATTTTCTTCTAACATGGTGTTAGAAAAATTGTGAAATACAAATAGTTTCTCTTTTTATTCTTCAGCATTATGGACAGTATTGACTGCTCCTACTGACTAAGATTAATTACGTTTTGTAGACAGCCAATGCACTTTGTCAGTGCAGAGTTCTCAATTATATTAATGTAAAACTTTGCATTAATCTATTAAAAATATTCTTTTGTCTAAGTACCTTCTAAAGGGCTGTATTCCTTTCTATGGCAATAACTGTGGACTTTAACCTGAACTTTTCACCACTGTTACAAAATTGTCTTCTTCCCCCAGGTCTACTTCACAAGGCTTTTTTAACAAGTTACATTATCGCTTGATAATATTTGACTTGTGATGACACAAACTTTCTGTAAAATATTCCCCCAAACTTTTCTCATTTCTCGTTTTCCAGGCTTTACACTCTAAACTAGCATTTGTTGTCCAGAGAGATATGAGCTGCATAATTTGTGAACCTTTCCAAGGAGTTGGTTTGACACTTGCCTTTCTAGTATTTATATGAAAATTTTAGCAATGTCAGATATTGTTTAAAAATCTAGTCCTGTACAGTATAAACATAATCTAAAAGCATTTTTGTAAAACACCTGTATGAAATGCTTATGCTCTTCCAAGTGTCTTTCAAGTCCTCAATATATACTTGATTTCTCTAGGTGTTTTGGGTGTATTGAGTGCAAGACCTTGTTACTATTTCAATTCAACAATAATCGTGATCTTCACTGCAGAAATACAGGAATGTTTGGTTTTTAAGAGAAAAATTGAATGCCTTTTTTTTTTTTTGACACTAGTATGTTTAAAACGGACATTATTTTTATGTCAATATCTCAATTTTTGCCCTGACTTGGGAATTTATTACTGCTTTTGTTGCTTTTCTAATTGCATTTTCTAATTACTCTTGAGCAACACTCTCCCCCACTACATCCCATGTTTGCTCAACTGTTAATAAACACTTCCCACTTCTTTGTGTAATCTGTACATGAAGCACCAGTTGTAGATTTTATAGCTATTACTTGTCTGGTATAAATATCATCGCTCAGTCTAAATTAGGAAATTTTGGTAGTACAGCTCTAGTATCAATGATTGCACTATTTAAAATGTGAAACAGTCAATGCTGATACAGAATTTTCTCATTTAAAAAGACACTTAACAGATTCCATGTGAGCACTGCCTTCTTGTCCCTGTTCATGGTGGAAAGGAGTTAGAGCAAAACAGACTGGCCCCAACTCCTGCCTTGTGCTGGGAAGTGGCACCTTTGCTGCTTTAGAGCAGATTTTAAGAAAGGGATTATCAATATTGGAGATGATGCTTCTGCGTTGCCTTATCACAGTGTAAAGGTGTAAGCTGATGCTGATCAGGCCAGCAGGCCTAGGCTGGAGTTCATCCCCCTGTACTTTGCACTGGTGAGGCTGTACCTCAAATCCTGTGTTCAGTTTTGGGCCCTTCTCTGCAAGAAAGACATTGAGATGCTGGAGCATGTCCAGAAAAAGGCAGTGTTGCTGGGGAAAAGTCTGAAGCACAAGTCTGATGAGGAGCATATGAGGGAGCTGGGGTTGTTTAACCTGGAGAAAAGTAGTCTTATGGGAGACCATATTCTTTCTACAACTACCTGAAAGGGGGTTGTAGCAAGGTGGGGGTCAGCCTCTTCTTCCAAATAACGGGTACAAGAGGAAATGGCCTCAAGTTGCACCAGGGGAGGTTTAGATTGGATATTAGGAAAAATGTCTTCACCAAACAGGTTGTCAAGCATTGAACAGGCTGTCCAGGGAAGTAGTGGAGTCACCATCCTTGGAGGTATTTAAAAGATGTGTAGGTGTGGCACCTGGGGGCATGGTTTAGATGTGGTCTTGGCAGTGCTGGGTTAATAGTTGGACTTGATGATCTTAAGTTCTTTTTCAATCTAAAAAATTCTATTATCCTGTCACATTTTTGACCAGAGAAGGTTTTATTC